GGCCCAGGAAATGCTCTGCAGAGCCACCCCACCTGGATACTTCTGAGGACAGAGGATGTTCTGGGTGCTCCCACCTGCTCCCTTGGGTCTGGCCCCCCTGAAGAATGGAGGCATGATTCTTGACCAGATCAACGGGACCCCTCAGTAGTCTGACCCTTTACTGTCTGGACATCCCACTGCCCAGGCCCAAGAACAGGGCTGTGTTAAAATGCCCATTTCTTCTAGGTCCAGTGCCCTTTATGACCACCTTCCCTCCTGTCCTTCCATCCAAGACAGTCCACAAACTGGCCGACAACGCATCTCAGGGCTCAGGTTGCTTTCCCCGTAGGTTCAGTGCTTCCACCATTGTGTTCGCAGTTAGGACCATGGCCCAGTGTTGGAGAAAAAATAAATCATGGCATTTGTCAGTGACAGTGAGGTAGACTTTATTCAAGGGGCCGGTGATAATGGGGTTTGGTAGTAGGAGAGAGAGATCTATCTCACCTCTGATTATAAGGACAAGTGCACGTTTATACCCAAGGAGTAGTGTGGGGCTCAGTCATGCAACATCACTAAGAGGAAACATGAAATATTTAGGTGAAGGGTTTTGCTAAACTGACCTAGCAGGGTGATAGCTAAAACAAGAACAAAATGTGTCAAGGTCAGGAACCAGGTCCGGGACTAGTCAGAGACGGTACTCAGAGGACCTTGACTCCTGTTTGATCAAAGTAGAGAGTTTTATCATTTCTTGGTACTAAACTGGTATTGAAAATCTGCCCTGGTTATGCATAGTAAAAACCACTTACTTAGTCCTTTCTATAAACCAGATCTGCATCCCTTACTATCAGACAATACATCATTTAAGATACACCTTCAGTCTGTCATAAACACATCAAATATACTACATATACGATCTGAACAACAAGGTATAGAGGCCTAACAGATGGATAGATGGCCATGTTATTTTACAAACTATAAAACAATTCCTACTATGTTCAACTCTTTTATTCTTCGCAACCACTAAACACACAGGCCCACATTCACCAAGCAGGATGTATATAGATAGCGGCTCTTGCCGACCGCTGCAGGACTTGGTTGGAAGGCTCAAAATTTGTACAGACACTTCTTCATCCGTGTGAACAAACCAGGTTCTAAATATTTTTTCTCCATTTTTATTAAAATTTTCTACTTCTATTCTGTAAGTACATCTCTTCAGCTCATTCAGTGTGCCTACTACAAATAGCCAAAGCACCACCAGTGTTTATACGTGGAGATCCCATCAAGGGAAGGAGAAAGAAGCTAGAGAGAGATCCCAATGTACGGAGTGCACACTAGAGAAAACCTTCCAGGGTGCAGGGCATTTCTCTCTCTCTCTCTCTCTCTCTCTCTCTCTCTCTCTCTCTCTCTCCTTCTCCATCTAGACATCCTTTCACGACACAGACCTTGACAGTCATGCTCACCAGGAAATCAGAAGAACTTGGCACAATGCCTGGTCAGGCTGTGCCCGCGGTAAGCATTTCCAGCTAAACAAGGATTGATGGGACTAATGAATGCGTGCATGAGGCTCAGTCAGCCACCAGGAGAGAGAAAGGGCCAAGCACCCACAGACAGAGAGTCCGGCTGCATCCCACACTGGAGAGCAGAGCGATCACGCATGAGCACTCCCCTCACCACCTCCAGAAGACAGACGTCGTGCACAGTAGATCCTGGAGGAGTGTGGGGTGTGTGAGTAACTGAGTGACTTTGCTGAGTCGCAGAGTCACCTTCCTGTCCAGCCTGCCTCTCTAACAGTGGCCGTTGAATTCCAGGGGTCTCACAGTTCCCCAAGGCTACATCATCCCCATCATAATTGTGCAAACAAGGGGGTGAAGATGTAGAAATGGGGTAAATTAGATATAAAACCATTATTGGAGCTTCCAAGGAGCCGATTTGTTCCTCAGTAGCATTATTTTACTGAAGATACACTGTTCTGTGCCAACTTGAAGAATGTAATAATGATGATACTACATAATGCATAACGTGATATTGGAAAGGGATGTGTTATCCTGGGGGAACCTAGGAAAAGGGGGTGGGAAGGAAAGAAAAGAATGGTCTGGTCAAATTTTCCTGTGGGAATGAATGCTCCACAAACTTCCCAATGGTGTTTCCTAAGGCAAGCACAGTGGTGGGTCCTTTACTACTGAATTCTTTTAGCGTGATGCACCTGGTCTATCTAGGCTGCTCACAATGAACAAACTTTGACAGATTTATGGGCTGAGGCCCTATTAATAAAGGTCTGCAATGTCTATGTAATTTTAGCAAAATAAAATGGAGCTGGTGTGTGGCTGAAATGGCTGCATTTACATGTCTGATACCACACATGGGTCACTGAGAGACGCCAAGGGTTCTGGTCTACCTTCATCCACTCTTCCTGAACACCATTCCATAAGGTCTCTACCGCAGGTTGATGGAAAGGTAATTTTTAATGGTAGAATTGAAGTAGGGGAGTCTAGGGGAGGTAAATGAGGAACTGGAAGCATGATGGATGCATGTATTAAATTCATTCTGTGCCCATGAGTGCCTGCCAGACTCACAAGTTGGCAGAGATCTAATATTTAGACAAATCCATGCCTCTATTCCAAGTTAAATATTAATAAGTGCCCATTTGCTCCCTACGTGTTCCAGTCCAGGAAATAAATCAATGGCCCACCTACTTGGTGGTCAGGCACCATCTCTCTGCCTGTGTAGGAGCCTCTTTCTCTGTAGCAGCCAGACAGGGGATACCGGAACCACCACAAGCTTCCAGGCCCACGCCAACCCCCCTCAGATCTGCCAGTAATGTGTCCAGGCCCCGGCCCAACAAGGGCGTGCCCTGGCCAGAGCACAGACTCAGATATCAGACCAGTCTAGGTTGGAAGCCTGGGTCCAGCATTTGAAAATGTTGAGGCCATGGCAGGTTACATCATCTCTGTGCATCTCAGTATCCTCTATTGAGGAGAGATTTCCTCTACTAAGGAGAAATGATAATCGTTGTGCCTAAGTCATAGAATGGCTGTAAGGAAATGTATGTATCTACATTTATATACTGGATGAATGTTAGGTTTCTAGGACACTATACAACACAGAGCAAAGATGGGTAGGCCTTTGCTCTGATGATTCTTGTGGGGCCAGGGAGAGGCTGTGAGTAGGATGCCTGACTCCTCCCATCCCTCCTGTGAAGGACAGGCTGTTCCATGATGTGACCGCTGGCTGACCACTGCCAGCCCCTCGTGCGAGATCCAGTTACATCTGGGGCAGAACATATTGCTTTCTGTAGATGCCCTCAGAGACTCTCCGATCCCTCCCTGTGGCCCATGCCTGCTAGTTCCTGGGACAGCGTGTGAAGGGTTCCCCCTTACCTGGGGCAAGTCAACCCTTCGTACCCCCATCCATCCTGCCCTGTCCTATGTAACCCCTTAACTCTTGCTGGACAGAGAAGTTTTAAACTGCACATTGAGAAAGATGATAAGATGGTGGCAGGTATTCTCACAGCCATTATATGAGAGGCATTTTACACTAAAGAGAAGACACAGAACTTTCTTTGCCTAAGAACATATTAAACTCACTCGTCTTACAAAAAATACTATTTCACTTTCTCAGTTCTTCCAAAACTTCTGGGAAGAGTTGCCCATACTCACTACTTCCTCCCATCATAGTCCATCCATCTCTCAACTCACTGTGATGTGGCTTCTGGGACCATCACCCATGAATCTTCTTGAAGAGTGACCTGCACCCACTTTTTAAATTTTTAAAAAATATTTTTATTGATTTCAGAGAGGAAGGGAGAGGGAGAAAGAGATAGAAACATCAGTGATGAGAGAGAATCATTGATTGGTTGCCTCCTGCAAGCCTCCTACTGGGGACCTTGCTCACAACCCTGGCATCTGCCCTGACTGGGAATTGAATAGTGATCTCCTGGTTCATACTATAGGTCGAAACTCCACTTTTTTGTTGTTAATCCTCACCCGAGGATACTTTTCCATTGATTTTTAGAGAGAGTAGAAGGGAGAGGGAAAGACAGCGAGAAAGAAACATCGATGTGAGAGAGACACATCGATTTGTTGCCTCCCGCATGTGCCCGTGCCCTTGACCTTAAACAAATGGGTGGCCCTTCAGTCCTCGAACTGACGCTCTATCCGCTGAGCCAAATCGGCTAGGTCCCACTTTTTTTTTTTAAATATGTTTTTATTGATTTCAGAGAGAGAAAGGGAGAGGGAGATAAGGATAGTAACATCAACAATGAGAGAATCTTTGTTCAGCTGCCTCCTGCATGCCTCCCATTGGGGATCGAGCCCACAACCCGGGCATGTGCCCTGACTGGGAATCAAACTGTGGCCTCTTGGTTAATGGGCTCAACCACTGAGTCACACTGGCCGGGCATCACCCACTTTTTATGGTGGCAGCCTCTAGGAGCTAAGATTCTTCCCCCCTGTTCCCTTCTCCTCCCATGGGACAACCTCCTTAAGTCTCATAACATAAGCTCTCAGTAGGTCCTGAGTTTGCATGTAGCATCTAAAGCTGATCCCATCATCATGCCTCAGGGTTTGGAACCTTCTTGAACTTTGGGGCCTCTCTGTCCACCTGACATTTGGGCACATTTTCCTGAATTTTCCTACTGACCCTCAAACTCCTGATGTGTAGAATGGAACCCACTCTTTTTCTGGGCACATTCCAGTCACTTCCGAATTGGCAGAATTACAGATCAGGCAGCCAGGCAGCCAGAGAAATGTAATAATTGTGAGAGACCAGGACGTGCAAGGTGAGAGGGGCTGGTGGTGACCTCAGATGTGCAGGAAGCAGAGCCCTTGAAACAAGCGTGAGCTGACAGTGTTTGGTGTCACGGGGAAGGAGCCAGTGGCCAGGAGGAAAGTGAGGAGGGAGACATGGAGGAGAGAGCAGGGTCCCGCATGCTCTTCAGGAGCCCACGTGGAGGCAGATAGGACCAGAGACGCCAGAGACAGGAGAGGGCCCGTGGCCATCACCACTGACAAAGGATTCATCAGTTAGTGCGACTTCCAAAAGAGCGATTTTCCTCGATACATGTTGCAGAACTCTCGACCTTGACAGCAAAAGCTTGAAACCTTCAGGTCCCCGCGAAACAACTTCCAAGGCCTACACTCATTCGAGCAGTCCAGCTGTGTGTGGTTGTAGCGCCACTTATCTGGAAGAGAAGGAATTCACACTCAGTGCCAGGGGACAATGCTTGGGGCTCAAGAGGACCTTCCCCAACCACCCACACCAAGCCTGGCCCAGACGAGAGACACAACCACCTCTCAGCAAGGGCTTCCTCAGGCTGGAGAGGCCCAACACAGTGTCTGAAGTCAGGGGCCCGCTCAACACGGTAGACCCTGGCTCAACAGCGTTACCTCTCACGTGGGCAAAGAAGAGATCCCGGGTTCTGCATCCGGGGCCTTCCTCCACAGTGCAGGTGTCGTTGCCTTCCAGACACTTGCCCTTCTTAAAAACCTTGCAGACCATACACAATGTGGTGGGCGCTACGGAGAAGTAGACATGGAGGTTGAGCCCAGGTTTGAATGGTCTGGGACCACGGTGGGTTAGAGCAGATGAGGACCCAGGAGTCTAGGGACAAAGCATGACTCTAAATACTTTCTCCCGCACATGATTTGTGGCAGGAAATATCCCCACTGGATTACTTCCATTAGGTATTTAAGGAAATGGGGCCTTTGATCATGGGAATCTCAAAAGCCGTCAAGGATAAATAACTTAGGGTACGCAAGCTTTGTGTGAATGGTGTGGTCTGAATTATATCTCATGAAAGCTGTTCTAAAAAAAAAAAAAACCCAATAAACTTTGAACAAGGTTTTTTGAGCCCGTTTCTTCTAGGGCTCACTTCTTCTACCTCTGTGACTTTTTTTGTGTATTTTTATAACTTAGAATTTTTATTTTTAACCAACTGAAAGAAACTATTTTACTTCAAAAGAAAATCTTTTAAAACCACATTTCACTCTTCTGAAAAGGAAAACAAGCAAAGTCAATTGGTTAAAGCATTCTTAAAACATTTTCACATTCTGAATCTAACTCCTGCAACTCATTTTTCTACTCAGAATTGTCAAAATCCATTTTTCCCCACACAATATTGTCCTCTGTGCCAACAAAAGTTCTCCATTATTGTTTCTGAGATTTTCTTTGAAGTTTGTGGACAAAAGGGGCCACATGCTGACCTGACAAGCTCAGGGGAGGCCTGCATGGCAGTCTTGCAAACTCGGAGACCTAAAGTAACCACAAAGGATAAAAAAAAAAACAACTTTGAACAAGAATATGAGATGTTACTGCCAGGTGACGTGGGAGATACTGGGAGGTGAGATATAAGGGGAAAAGATATGGGTTCTAACCGGGCAAGTGAAATTTCCAACGTTGTCCCTAAACAACACTAAGAAATGGTGTCTCCTTAATTGTTGTTCCCTAGGAACCCGGCTGAACTTTCCCTAGTACCAGTTCTGTGCTCACACACTCATAAAATCTAGGAGAGGTTCACTAAGCAAACCCTCTCCCCTTAGCTGTGAAGCCCTGTGCAGAACCCAATGAGAGCATCTACGTACAGCCACTCTGGGCCAGGACCTCTGGGGAAATGGATGGGGCATAAGGACTACACAGCTTGAAGATGAGGAGGCAGATTTTAGTATCCAAAGATTTGCTAGCACAGCACCAAAGTCATCCAAACCACACACGGATCTACGTGAAAAGAAAGCTGTGAAAATATTGGTTCAAAATAACTCATCCAGCCCTGGCCAGTGTGGCTCAGTTGGTTGAGCGTCATCAGCGACCAAGAGGTCCCTGATTCAATTCCCTGTTGGGGCACATGTCTGGGGTGTGGGCTCACTCCCTGGTGGGAGGCTTGCAGCTGGCAGCCAAGAGATGTTTCTCTCTCTCATCAATGTTTCTCTCTCTCCTCTCCCTTCCTCTTGCTCTGTAAAATCAATAAAATCACATTTATAAAGTAAAAATAAAAGAAGTCATCCAATTGCTTCTTCCAGCTGGACCACTGCCCCCAGGCTACTGCTTTAGAGAAAGTCTTAAGCAACCATTGGGCAAAGCTTGGAGCTCATTCCAGCCAGGCCCAAAGCCCCAAATGCCCCCAGGACGAATCTATCCCAAGGGAGTAATTGACCCCATTTGGGGGCTATTTGGAAGGAACTTGAACCATTTCCCTGGTAGTAGTTTGGGTGGAACAGCAGAGAGACACCTCAAACTCTTGCTGGTGATCATCCCAGAACCTCATCCTTGACTTCACTCCCTCCCAAGGGGACAGATCATCATCCCAGGAGTGCTCCCCTGTCCCCATGCCCTCACCCCTGCCCAGCCACCCCAGGGCCTCACCCACTCCTTGGAAGAACATGAAAGGGAAGACTCCCAGCAGCAGCAGCAGCAGGAGCACAAGCTTGTCCATCTCAGTCCGGGATGGCAGGGAGGTGCAGAGGGGCCTGGAGCAGTGAGCTGCGTCCCGGGAAGGCCTGGACAGGCTGTCCTGGGGTGCAGATGGGAGGGGGTGGAGATCTGGACTGAGCTGCTTCTGGGCTGTGGGCAGAAGCTTCCTCTTGCACACTGGCCAGTGGGTGTTCGCTGCCACCCAGGCCCAGGAAATGTTCCCACAGAGCCAACCCCCCTGAATACTTCTGAGGACAGATGAAAATGTCTGTGACTGCTATGTAATTACAGCCAAATATCATGGAGCTGGTGTGTGACCGAAATGGCTCCGCTTGTACATCTGAGATCACGCATGGGCCACTTAGAGCAGTGGTTCTCAACCTTCCTAATGCCGCCACCCTTTCATACAGTTCCTCATGTTGTGGTGACCCCCAACCATAAAATTATTTTCGTTATAAGTTAAATCTATGCCAGCAAAGGCCAAGGCCTCTGGTTAAAAAGTCAGCCAAAGGTCAAAGGGGCAGTTCTTTCTTTAATAGGAATGAATTGACCCTGGATTCCTTTACTAGCTTGGTTCCCCTGCAACCTTATAAGAAGACTAGAGGCCAGGTGCACAAAATTCATGCACTAGGTGTGGGAGGGGGGTGGGGGCGTCCCTCAGCCTGGCCTGCACCCTCTCACAGTCTGGGAGCCCTCAGGGGATGTCTGACTAATACTAAGCCATCAGTCAGACATCCTTAGCACTGATGCGGAGGTGGGAGAGGCTCCCACCACTGCTGCTGCACGCCCCAGCCGTGAGCCCTACTTCTGGCTGAGCGGTGCTCCCCCTATGGGAGCTCACTGTCCACCAGGGGGCAGCTCCTGCATTAAGCATCTGCCCCTGGTGGTCAGTGCACATCATAGCAACCAGTCTTTCCTCCTTTTGGTTGATTTGTATATTACCCTTTTATTATATAGGATATGTCAACTGTTCTCTGAAGTGACTGTGTTGATGGCTCCAGCAACCCAATAGGAGGTGCATTAGCTGCATTACTAGTACCCTGTCTGTGGTTCAGAGTGAACCCGATGGGGAAGTTGCATCCAGACTAGCATGCCCCTTGTGAGGACCTTGGGAGCTAAGCTCTGCTCCTGAGTTCTGGTGGGGCCACATCCCATAAACCCATCAGAGAAGTTCTGTCCATGTGAGCAGCCTAGATAGATCAGTTGCATCACGCTAAAAGAATTCCAGAGTAAAGAACCCACCACTGTGCTTGCCTTAGAAAACACCATTGGGAAGTTTGTGGAGCATTCATTCCCACAGGAAAATTTGACCAGACCATTCTTTTCTTTCCTTCCCACCCCCTTTTCCTAGGTTCCCCCAGGATAACACGTCCCTTTCCAATATCACGTTATGCATTATGTAGTATCATAATTGGCACAGAACAGCGTCTCTTCAGTAAGATAACACTACTGGAGAGCAAAGCAGCTCCTTGGAAGCTCCAATAATGGGTTTATTCATAATTTACCCCATTTCTACTCCTTCCTCACCCCTTTTTTCTGCATAATTATAATGGGGGTGATGTAGCCTTGGGGAACTGTGAGACCCCTGGAATTCAACTGTCACTGTTAGAGAGGCAGGCTGAACAAGAAGGTGCCTGGTTGACTCAGCAAAGTCACTCAGTTACTCACATGGCCCACACTCCAGAATCTACTGTGCATGGCGTCTGTCTTCTGGAGGTGGAGCTGCTATTGTGCCCTGAAGGGTCTGGAAAAAAAGACTGCTCGGAAATTATAAAGATCTGTTATCTTAGATGCAAAAAAAACAATGGACAGGCTTGCCGAAGGTAAAGATTAACCTTTGTCAAGAAAGCTACAGGCCTAGGACGTGACTACACACCATGACTCACTTCCAATTGGGAATTTTTATGTTCAGACCACTGATGTGGTTATTTTCAGTCTCTGAGTTTGTAAGAGACTTTAGACTCTCACAGATTTATTAAGAAGTAATAATTAGTTAGAATTAAAATAAAA